TAAAATGTGCCATTTCTTTTTTACCTTTTTAATGGCATGATATAGTGACACGATAATATTAACATATGTTTTAAGCATAACTCTGAATGTATTAATGAGATATTAATGCATTGGGTCTTTTTAGTTTTTTTAATAAAAAATAATATTAATATTTTTTGTCCGCTGTGACGGAGCATTTTCACAGTTCATATTTGCAACTGCTCCGTCACAGCGGACAAAAAAAACATTATTTTTTACAAACGAATTAAAAAGACCAAATACATCAACATCTCATTTATACCTTCATAGTTATGCTGAAACCATGTGTAAATATTATCGTGTCACTATATCGTGCCATTAGAAAGTTAAACAAGAAATGGTACATTTTGAAGTATGATACTCTGGCGCCATTTTCAATAGCTTTTCTTCCCAGCGTAATTGGACTTCAAACAGAAGTGAAAGTTACCCGCAAATGATATATCCATTACATGGAGTAAGTAATTTTGTATGGTATAACGAAACATATGAGTTAAAAAATAAATCGTGAAGTATTCTTAGTGTTTTTATGAAAAATAGCATGCTCCGTCACAGCGGACAAATATTTCGATACCAGCCTGTGATTATATTCAGGAAAATATGACATTGACATGTTGCAAGTAACATTCACTTCTGTTAAGTTCAATAATGCTGTAGGAGTATGAACTATTGAAAACGGATTGATAGATTGATCCATACGCAAAAATAAAGGTTTTAAATAAAGCCATTAATCCAATGAATTTCAATTGATAAACAATTGGAGGTGTGTGCTCTAATATTGCTTTGGCACTCACTAGAAATACAACATTTGCGGTGTGAAGTGTGAAAGGTTGTCCTTCTAAAGTGGTTATCATATCAGAAAATGGTAAATAACAATCAACTTTAATGTATAAGTGACCACGATTGTTCTACACATTTCCATCACACTTTGCGTTACCTCGAGAACATGTCCTTAATGAGGAATATTATTTTCAATAGGGTTTTATCATTTGCTTGGTGTAGGTCTTATAAAATCTTCAAGATTTCCGTTGTGATTTTAACTGTCAGCATTTATGCTTTGTCGCTTAGCAACTTCTGTTTAATTGACTCATTTACTATTATATTCTACAGAAGGTGTTAGGCGTTGATGATCGATACAACAAAATATATCAGATAAGATATAGATAATCACTGTAATTGAACTTCCATTGATCAGGAGAACTAAATCTTAATCCCATGAGCGAGTTTAATAAGCATATGGCTGGTGAATAGAGACAAAGCTATTAGTGATAGAGCATACCAAGCGTTAGCCTTTCCGCATTCGATTTGGTACAATAAATCTAGGTTATGGAGTCATCACTCATATTGTATCAATTGGCATAGTAACTAGAAGCAGGATTTGTTCCATGGAGCAATTAAGATTAATTATTCTTTTACTAACATCTCACGTTTTAGTATAGTTTTTAGTCCCAATATTGTTTGATAGGACGTCCCATGCCATCCTTCTTCAAAGCACTTCATTTGATATGCTTAAAATGGAAAGAAGTGAGATACCCTTGGACCAAGGATGTCCTACAAGCCCGTGCTGCGATTATTCTAATTATTACACATGATATAAAACGTCCTGAGTATGTTTTATTTAATTATTCTTATCTAGATGGAGATTGGATTGCGCCTATTGTCTGCTTTTACCCATAAAATATCAAATAAAGGACGTCCTGATAAATAGTCTTGCGTCAAGCCCCTGGACTTGTAGCTAGACTACTAAATAGAGGTCGCTAGAAGCGCAGAACCCAATTTTTGCATGTACCCCCTAACCTCCAAGGCATGGGGTGGGGTCTCTAAGGCACGGGGTAGGGCCGTAGGGTTTGGGCAAATGTTTGTTAACACTATTTCTTAAGTTGTAGGATAACCTCACTGTCATGTTATAAGCTTGTTTAAAGTTTTAATTCATTTTTACTCTGTTAGCACCATAACCTTTGTAAGCAATTTTTTTTATTGAACTAGGATAAGTACAGGGTGTCCAAAAACTGTACCCAAATTGAAATAATATAAGGCTACCAATAATTTCACTAACCACGTAATGTTAATCTGACAATTTTGTTTATTAATAATTTCAAAGTCTAGATCTAAATAAATGTATGTTGATCACGGGGTACCATCGAATAATTTTGGCAACGTACCGGAGAACGACATTTTACTAAGAAATGGCAATAATTTAGCACAATATATTTTTTAACTAGAGTTCTATTTTGATTTTGACAAAAGTAAGTATTCCATGCAATAACTATTTCATTCATGAGTTTGTAGGAATTCTGTTGGAACCCAGTTCTGATCAAGTACGAAGTTATTGAAATCGGCGCAGACGGACTTTACTCCGAAAGATGGTTTTTCGATTATAACTTTTCACAACATTTAAGTATAGACTTTTGAAAAAAGTACAGAATAGTCCTTATACTTTTGAATAATTCTGTTATTTCTGATTCACACGACTCTGATTTGTTTAATTAAAAAAAAAGTTTTAAAAATATTACTTAGGAACGTAACCGGAGCTGGGAACGTAACCGGAGCAGATCAGTTGAATTATTTAATCAAAAAAATTAAAATATATGATTTAAAGCACATATACTAATTTAAAAACATACGGGATTGTTCGAATGCGTATTTATTAATATATATGCTTTAAATCATATATTTTAGTACCGCGTGATATTAGCGGTTTCCAGGTGCTCAGAAGTTTTAATTGATTTTTTTTAGTTGACAATAACTTGAAATATGTTTATTTGTACATTATTTTGTTTTCAATTTTACTTGATGTGTTACATAGTGTCACTGGTATATTGTATTTGTTACAAATACATGGCACATAGGTTAAAATAGCTGATATCGGCATATGAGAAAATTGTCTATTAATTATTTGTTTGTATCAGTGTTCATATGAATAATTGTCAGTATTTAGTACAATAAAATCAGTTTACATACAATAAATATCAATAAACAAATTTAGCATCATACATTATGCATATAGAGGATTAAAATAGTTCTTTTGTTAATATAAATCAAAATGATTAGCGTCTGATTGGAATGTAGAAGATAGAAATGGTTGAGCAATCATTACAATGAATATGGAATTGTTACATTAGGCTATCAAATAAGCTTTTAATATATTGCAGTTTAAAACCGATTAAGATCAAATTTTGCTTTCATTAACATTTTGTAGAAAAGTGCAGTCTATTGTCTTTGGATTGGTTCTTAGAGCATAAGACAAAAAAATGTGATACGGTGTCAAAATATCCGAGTCACAGTATTAGAAAACGGGATCTTTCATTGTTGGAAAATATCGAGTAGCGTCCCTGGGAGCCAATCCTCCCTGGCGGCAACAGTACGTTAGATTCCCATATGGTCCTATACGCCTTATATGGATCTATCACATGGATGAAACGTGACCCAATACCAACTCAGAACTTAGGGAAATCTCCCCCTGCATTTAATCATTCTGATACTCATAGAACCTCTCTCTGTTGCATCGCCTTCTCCAGAAGGATGGAGATGGCGAGAGCGTGGCTTACCACGATGGCATTTAATGGAAACGTGGATTTCATTATTATGAAAGTTACCATCACATAATTTGCACGTGCTATCTTCCAATACTAAATTTGACCAATGAATCAATGGACCAAAAATAGAACAAGTCTTACTAGTACACTAACAAACAACAAACACATTAACAAAAGCAACTCTGTATATAGATAAATTACCAATATACAAACAAACATTCAGAGATAAAAATCAACACAACAACAATTTACCATCGTCAATGAATCGACTTTTGATTGTTTTTATCTATCCCACGGTGCAAAAAACAGCCAACAAACATTATAAACACTTTACAAATATCAATTGACCAACCGCCCACCGTCCATCTCGAATGCCAACACAATCCGCCCATTCAACCAACAATCAGCATACCAGGGGTAAATCTGCTTGTATACAGCAAATTGAAAACGTGCAATTATTTGTGATTAATACGCGTACGCGCTGTTAACGGGTTTTCTAAAAGCTCATTTCGATATACTTAGGGATCTCTGTTCGAAACGTGAACATGATATTCCAAATACACGTTCAGGTGAACGTACATAAAGTTTTAACCACTTCGGTAAATACCGTAATCATATCCAATGTTATCAAAATGTGATATGTGAAACGTTTTTTAAAGTCAAAAAGTGGTTAGGATTTTTTTGTTCGAAAATTGTGAATTTATTTAAAACTAATTTTTAGAGGTTCACACCAATGCGTAGTATTCATCCTTATGTGTTTTTTGCCGAAAAAATTAAGGTAATTGGTTGATAAATGAGCGAGAAATAAACTCATCCATGCATGAAAGTGTTTCAGAGAAAAACGCATTTCAAAACTTTTAGTTTTTATGGTAACCAATTGTAAAATAATATTTAAAACATAATATATTCTTCTTTTCCACCTAGCTAGACAATCAAAATTGGTTTATCTTTGTTTGGAGTTTAGTATATTTAGAAAATATTAACATAGAAAAATTGATTTTTTCAAAAAGTATTTACACATGGGTGATGTCACGATGTCACTTAGGTTGCAAAATATTTTTAATATTTTAAAACTTTAAAGTGGAACATAAGATATGACCTTTTATTATTGAAACAGTGTGTTCAATCTTTGCATTGGTGATAAAAAAGATAACGTGTTTTGCATTGTATGGTCGAATATTTCATGATTTTATTTGAAAAATGGCGGTAAATTTGAATATTTAAGAAATAAAAACCTGACAACCTTTTTTTGAAAAATGTCTGAAATAACTTTAAGTCATGAAAAATAGTAAATGAGAGATAAAGACATACATGTGTCTTCAATCTTTCCGTACACTTAGCTGAGTTGGGTTTCTCAAAGAACGACAGTGCGAAGATAACGCTGATCTAGCTGCTGTACTGTCCATGTTATAACTTGCGTTTCTCATTGGTTCTCATTTACTTTTGTAGGAAATGAGCTTCTGGGGACTGAACGAGTTAGACATCGAACCATGCTGTTGGGTCTCATATAGCAAATTTACGGACCATAAGGAGACACTTGCCGCACTAGATGACAATTTTCTGTTTGATTTTCACGACGAATATGCCTGGGAGAAGGGCGAGTCTTATTGGCGTATGCTCCGAAGAAAAGCATGGCGTTTCATGGAGGATCCGGGTTCATCAAAAGCTGCTAAGGTACTTAACATAATTGCACATGTAATGTGACACAATGTCCATGGTATGACTTTGTAATTTAGTAGGAAAATTGTGTCCCCCCACTTGAACATAAACAGTGAATATTTGAAGAAAGAATATCCCCTCAACTTTTCTAAAAATCAATCTCAATCGAAGGAATGTTGTAATTCTTTAAAACCTTGGTTCATTTGTTCAACAACCAACATTTTCAGATTAATCCCTTTTTGATAAATGTTGAAATTAAGTGACTCTTGCATGTTTTACCATTGGGGCATATGGCAGTCTGGCCCAACCAAAAACAAATTAAAAGTGCTGATATCTTTTTTATTCAGCTTTATTCAGCTATATAGCAACTCCCATTTTGTTCAATTCTGTCCGTTGGTTGTTCTGTTGATCTCAATATATCGCCAATACTCATGAATACTATACCCATTCGGTGGTCTCAATATGTATCTCCAGTACAGTATGTGAGAATCAGATATTATATAAGCTGTTATAATGGGACATCACTCATTGTTCGGGAGAGAAACATTTGGCATATGCATCTATAATGTCATGTAATAAATATGGATCAATATTATAGAAAAGAAGAAATTTGTGGTCAGAAATTCTCTTATCTTCACCAATCCATACCATTTAAAAAAGGATACTAATAGATATAATAAGATCGATCATTAAGTGGTTGTTCGGGGTACTATATATAAGTACGATATACTTATACTTTTAAGTATTTTAAGATAAAAAATATGGGCGGTTTTGATCTGATATAAAAAGGCCACGTGTCCCTGTCACATGGTTTAGATTAGCCATGCACTCATGCACCCAGCAATTAATCGAATTATTTCTAGTCTGGTTCTTATGTATACGTCATCTACATTACCTGCAACGAGTCAACATGTATTGAAATAATGGGCTTCATATTATTAGGCCCATTCTATAAATATTATTACAAATGCTCTCATTGTCGTGTTTATAAAGGAATCAATCGAAGACAATATGTTTAAATTCAGGTGGAATATTATGAACTCATTTACCCTTTGCATTTGTTGACTTCGCTTCTTACAAGAATGGAACATGCCCTGACCAAAAGGATAAATCTTCGTTGTTCCGTTAGTGTACCATTTTGACCTTAATTTTATCTACCCAATCGGTTAAAGGTTCATTGAAGTCTGAAATATAAAATTAAGAGATGAAATTCTGAGTCTCACAATAATGGTCATTTTAAGGGACTTGATGCCACTAAAAGTGCCATGCATTCCCAGTCCAACCAATGTTAACAGGTTAAGTCTTAGTCTATGAATTAAAGTTCCAGCATGTACTACATGGCAGAAATTCTTCCTTCCATCACACTGTCATCTTGATCCATCAAGGTATTACAGTATAATTATTATTATATAATAAAACAAAAAGTGACTGCCTAATTTCGAGCAATAGTACATTTTAGAGGATATTCCCTCGGGGAGATAATGTACAAATAGTGACAGCCATTGAGGGAAATAGTGCAAATTATTATATCACTATCTAGCTAGCGACAGTATGATTGGTCAAAACCGGGTCACACGTCGTGGGATATCTGGCGATATTCAATGGCAACGCTAATCAGATAAGACAACCGTGAGATATCTAGCGATATTCCACGCTCCCGGGAATTTTCAAATAATTTGTTTTCGTTCAGTGTAAATAATTTAGTTCAGTGTAAGTCAAAATGGCAGACGAACCGAGTAGATTCGTAAAAATATCTGAAGACTTAATGACTTAATAATATTAGGGATGTTTAGCTAGACAGTGATATAATAGAACAAATATTTCACTCTATTTTCGGTGAATACCTGTAGCACTTTCACAAGGTGATATTCCACTTGCCCTTCGGGCTTCGTGGAATATCACTTGTGAAAGATGTACAGGTATTCATCTCAATAGAGTGAAATATTTGTTCAATATTTTCCTCAAGGGAATATCCTGTCCACTGATGTTCCCGAGGCTGCAGGCCGAGGGAACAAGTCAGTGGACAGGATATTCCCGATATTCCCGATATTATCGCACCATAGGTGGCTCCACCTATCTACTGCCAATTTTATGGCTAGAAGCTCTTTGATATTTATATCACTAGATCTATGTTGAGGAAGGTCCATCTCCCAATTAATATATATCCAGTCAGTGCGTGACTCCGGTAGGAGGTTTTTATTATAGTGCCAAGCTGCAGCACCATCATCGCATGCATCTGTGCAGAAAGTGACGTCGGGCTGTGACTTATCTAGTATGTAATTCACGCCATTGAAGCGGTCGCTTTGCAGAAATTTAGACCAAGCAGCTAGGTCCTTTCGTGTTTGCGCATTTAAACGTGTCCTATGCGAGGGACGCTTTAGTTGTTTGCATGAGTCAATAAGGCTGCGTAGCAAGGGCCTGGCTGCCCTAAAAATGTTTGCGATCCAGTTTAGTTTCCCAATAATATGCTGCAACATTGTCTTAGACATTTTTGACGCATTGTTCCATTTCACTAGACTGTCTTTTAATCTCTGAAAGCTTGGAGGCAGGTATTCTTAATAATTGCTGAACAGAGTCAATTTCGATCCCTAGAAACGTTAAACACTGTGTGGGAGGGACCAATTTTTTCCAATTAATTATGAAGCCTAAATCCTGTAACAATGATAGTAACATGTTAATTGCTTGCCTGCATTTGTCCTTAGAATCTGATATCACTAGAAAATCATCGAGGTAAACTACAGTCTCCTGAAATCCTCTGCGCTTCATCCTGCGGCCCACTGCACGTGTTATTCTAGAGAAAATTTCAGGACTTCTATTGCTGCCGAAAGGTAGTCTCGTGTCTATCATATAAGTAAAATCCTTATTTTTGCCAAATTTGTATTTTAATCCCATGGCTTGATGACACTTAGGGCTTGTAGGTACTACTCTATATCCCCATCTCAAGTCAACTTTCCCCATAAAAGATCCTGGTTTTATGTATTTAATGGCTGTGTCTAAGCCTTCATAAGCGAAATATTGGGGAGTAGACATAGAGTTCACTCCGCCGTCCATTGGCCGGCTAGCGTCATGAATCAAGCGAATATCTGCACTGTTTTGTTTAGGCACTGAACCTAAGCTATACTCACTATCTTAGGTTTTTCAACGGTTACGATATAACGTGATTCTAGGATTTCTTCCCTTAACTGTTTTTCCACCTTAGGTTTGACGATAGGGTTGGTAGCTGAACGATAATTATCACTATCATTTTCCTGTATATTATGTGAATCAAATTCTTCATCTAATAGATGAAAACCAAATTCAATGCCATTTAATGTAAAATCTTTATCACTATCACCTTGTAATTCCTGCCTCCAAGTATCCAAATTATCTGTTAAAGGACTGGTGACGTGTCCCTATTTGGCGAGTGATGCATGAAGATATTGTGGGTGGGCTTCTCCACAATTATTTTCTGCACATTTCCCATGTGTGAATTTACACGAACTGCCATAACTGCAGCCTCGTGCACTATTCCATTGACGGCATATCGGGATATTTGCGTTCTTAACCTGAGATTGCGTATTTTGCGTGGGGTTCCCATTAGATGAACGGTCACCACGTTGATGGGGGGCGCCACGAGGCGTTGTCGGTTTCTTCACCAAATAAAAGTTCATCAGATGTATGTCGTCTTCACCCCATGTCAGCATATTTTCATGTTGTTTCTTTCTGCATGCGTCCTCATATAGTAATGTGGATGTCACCGTGTTGGTTTGTGCGTGGTCACCTACATTTATCATGTGCGATACATACTCCTTTACGACTGTTAGTTCAGCACCGTCCTTAATGAGTTGTTGTAATATCCTACAACTCGCGCTCACCCATTGTGGTAACGTAACATTGTCCAATCGAGGTTTCACTGTTTTGTTGCCTGGACGATAAAACAAGTTATTTCCCATTGATATCTCCTCTTGATCGTTCTGAGGGAGATAGGCATTAGTCACAAAGTCTGGAATAAGGAGTGGTTTCTTACCATTATGGCCTGTAGACTCTGTAGGTACTGGAGTCTTAGCTGATGCATTATCTGTTGACAAAATATCCGCTGACAGGTCACCTGACTTGGCTAACTTGTCCACCAGGTCAACCAACATTTTGTCTCTTGCGAGTTCTGATGTTGTAATTAAGTTTGACAGGTTTGCTATCACTCTCTGATCCGAGTGTTGCCTGATCCTGAGTCTTGATGACAGGTTTGTGTAGCGATCCAATTGCGAATTCTAAAGCCCTCTCAAGTCCCAATCTGCCTAATTTTCAGAGCAGCAATGTCACTGAGTTGCATGGCTAACAAGGCATTTAAAGTGTCAAAACCTTCCTTCATCAATGAATCTATAGTATCATTGTGTAGCTTATTATCCACTGTCCATTGTTGGAAATTAAATTATGACATGTTGACTATTTACAATGACTATTTTTGAGACAAAACCAAGAAACAAGAAAACTTTCCAAAACTTTGCATGCTGCTATTGCGCAATGGAACTGGCCCTCTATAGTGTATAAGCAAAACTAAACTAAATTAAGGTGCTGCCCTCTTTATGACCTTTCCTCTCTAAATCAAAATAACAAGGTTATTTATCACCAATATTTTCCTCAAGGGAATATCCTGTCCACTGATGTTCCCGAGGCTGCAGGCCGAGGGAACAAGTCGGTGGACAGGATATTCCCGAGAGGAAAATTTTTACACTATTTCCCGAAAATGTGGCAGTCACTATTTGTTTTATTATATACCTGATAAGTACTCTGTAAACAAAACAAAATGAGAAGTCTTTTCATTTCAGTATCAAATGTTCACAGATTCTTATTGGCATTTAAAGGCATTTTACCTTTCAACTCCTATAATCTCAGATTTGGGGGAAGATAAAACGTACTACTTAGTATTGACTGGTCACATGACCTAACTGGTGATTAGTACAATTCATCTTCCCTGAAAGCAGGGATTTAGGACTTTCCAGGGAATTAGTTCATCTATTCCATGTCATGTGACCATG